ACGTGGTGACGTGTCTAGCCTACAAGATTCTTGTTCATCTGCATGGAAATCTTTGAGCATACGTAAAGAAAATGTCTCTCGCGACGTGACAAGCTATCTGCCACGGCATGGCGACCAATTTATGGCAACTTATAAATACAACTTCTAGGTCAGAATGTGAGGGGATGCTGCAATTTTCTGCAACAAAGAGTGACCAAAACCTTCCTAGAAACCCTAATAAGATCATAATTCGATTGAAGATCAAGGATTGAAGAGATCTTAACGAAAACACTTGAAATCATTCGGTTTGCCTAGTTTTAACATGTTTACTCTAGTTTACTTTGTTTTTGGCTAAATACCCTAACTTTCGTTTAGCATAGATGAAACCTAATACTATGTGTTGAATAGCTAGATCTAGAGATTGAACATATCCTAGAGTTAGGTGGTAATAGTTAGTAATTTTAACTGTGTTAGAGAGCATAATTATCTTTATTATGGGTTTGAATTGTTTGTCTTGATCATAGATAGGTAATCACTAGATCTTGTCATTCATAGTCTACATATCCTTAAAATCAATTTAATGTCCATTAGTTACATGATCATTGTAATAGTAGTTCATGAATTGATAAAATACTATAAAATCAATTTAATGTCCATTAGTTACATGATCATTGTAATAGTAGTTCATGAATTGATAAAATACTAGTGGTTAGAAGTTAGTATTCCCCCAAGTTAGTAAAATTCGTATATATCTGGATTAGAACTCGAGACCTTCGATGTAAGTGGCAAAGCATCTACCAAGTGAGGTAGTCCCATATTGGTCGGCAACCAACATTAATAATCTATTAAATTAGAAATCAACCATATTAAAAAGGTGATTGGAAGCTAAACGAAAATACTTTTTAAATCGTGGTTTAAAGTCATTTATGTTTGATCATTTTTGTTTAAATTAATGGTAGTAATTTGTTAGTTAATTGTTTGATTTAAATTGCCGATCTTGCAAAATAGTACCCCCACCCCCCCCCCTCCCTCCACTTTATAGTTATTTTCTTTAGTTTAATTAGTAGCATTTATTTTCTGATTAAAAAGGGTAAATGTCACTATTACCCAATCAACTATCGTCATTTATCCGATTTGGTCACTAAATTATTTTTTTTGCGCAATAGGTCATTAAACTTACAACTTACCTGTCTATTAAGTCATTTTCTTTAGTTTTTAACATATCCTCCGTTAACCAATTATTATAAATTACACAAATGGTCCCTATGATTTCATTTTCTTTCGTGGTTGGTCCCACACAAGCACAGTTCATCATCGACATCACCATCGTTCAATTCCGACAACCGCCACCCTTCACCTCGGGCAACCCCTTTAACCATTATTCTAACATATGATCACTCACAAAAAAAATTCAATCGATTTTAATTTTTATAAAAAAAATAATTTCAACGGGTTTCAATTTCAATGAATGCATTTAAAAAAAATCTATATATGTTTAGAATCAACATTGAATGAAAGTGTAACAATGTCTATTTGCTAAATAAGAAATTAATTACCAATAAGATATTCGTGATTTAATCTTTTTTTTACAGAGAATGCATCAATACTCCTTACCCTCACAAAGTATATACATGACATGCTTATTTCAATTGGATTATACGAATGAAATTGTTACACCATGCAATACTAAATGTAGTTCACTAACTACCAACGTATACATTTTTATTTGCAATAAGAACCCATATTAAAAACTAATAATTTTTAATGCGACTATTTCACCAAATATATTAAATGCAGTTTGCAAACTTCTACGATGACATTTTTTAGTGATCTAGCATATTTTTGGTCGATTTAAGAGATTTAAATAGTTGAAGTTTCTACAAAATGTATCATATTTTTACTTAAAATCGACCGGTAAACTAAACTCTAAATCAAAAATCACAGGGGTTGCTCGAGGTGAACGTTGATGGTACCGAAAGTGAACGGTGGTGGTGCAGGTGATCAACGATGCTGGTAAAGGACCAACCACAAAAGAAATTGAAACCATAATGACCATTCTTGTAAATTATAATAACTTATTAACGGAGGATCTGTTAAAAACTACCGAAAGTGACTTATTAGACATGTAAGTTGTAAGTTTAATGACCTATTGAGCAAAAAAAAAACTTTAGTGACCAAATCGGATAAATGACGATAGTTGATTGGGCTATAGTGACATTTACCCTATTAAAAATTATTTGTTCCCTCAAGTGCGACACCTTACTTAGGTGCTGTTTGTTTTTTCGAAGCGAAAATTGATGAAGTCTGCGGACCACCTCTGCAATCCTCTGTAGCAGAAGAGGTGGAACAAATGGATGCAGCCCATAATAAGAAGTATGTTTGTTTTTTAACATCTGCAGTAAACTAAAATTTAAATAAACTAATTTTATAAACTTAAAATAGTTCTCAACACCGAAATTTTCATAATTCTAGTCTTAAGACATTGAAAGAGTACTAAAAAGAACATGTAAAAAAACAAAAATATAAAACTTAAAAAAAAACTTACAAAAATATAAAAGAAGCTAACAACTTTATTCTAGAAAAAAACTAATTTTATAAAACATAAAAAAGAAAATAATAAAAAAAATTAAGAAAGTATTGCAAACGATGTCTACAAAGTTCGTAAAAAAATTACACACGTTAAAAAAGATGAAACTGAAACTGAAAATATTATTAACGGAAATGGTAAAAAAAATTAAAAAAATCAAAGCTTTTTTTTTTTAAATCAAGTTAAAAAAATTTGTGGAAACTATAATAAGAAATTGTATAAAATCCGTAAATAAAAGTTTAAAAAAAATAAGTTATACCAAAATTCTAAAAAAACACTTCAAAAAATTGAAAGCTGAAGAGGTTTGAAGAGACAAGTCAAGTGCTGCGTCACGCAGCACACGCGCAGAGGTTTTGCAGTCTGAAGTCTTCCAAAAAACAAACTGCTGCGAGAGGGAAAGTGTTGTGCGTGTGCTACGCCGCGCAGCAGAAAGGGGTTTGAAGAGGTTTTTTCTAAAAAAACAAACAGCACGTTACTTTTACTATACTATTATGTAAACAAAGACTTATTTTTAATTGGTTCCAATAATCAAATAAAAAATAAAACTTAGTAATTGATAAATAGGAAAATTGGTCATGGAGGCTATTATACAAGCATACTATTTATGTTTTTCAATAATAAATTTTTTAAAGAAGGCTACTGAATTATATAATCCGATTTTACTAACATAAAATCTAGCCAAAATGATCAAATAATAAATATACTCCGCAATATAATATTAGATAAATCTGGTCAAAATCTATAAATCTAGTTAAAATTTTATTTTAGCATGTGAGAAGTTTAAATGTTTTGATTACTTTCATTAACAAATGTATATGACAGAAGTTCAAGAATCACCATCATTTAAGCTATGTGTTTATATTTTTATTCACCTTTCATCCATTATCTATCGTTTCAGAATCATATCATTTCCTCCTCAATCTTTCGATTATTCAGACAATGTATACCTATCTTTCACTCATTCAAGAACAAAAAATACTAGTGCATAGTGCATGTTACATAATGTGCAAAGGAAAAGAGGGGAAGGGCATGAGAGAGGAGAGAGACAACTATCACAAAAAAAAAAAAAAAAAAAAAAAAAAGAGAAGAAATAATTTGTAGATGATTCCACAACGAGGATGAAAATCATGGGTACTGCCTTAGGCGGCGCATTGTGCCAGCGGTGCACGTCAAACCCTGCTCCCATTTGAGGAGAGGTATAAGGCTGAAGGGTGTGGGTGCGGTCCCAGACCGCACTTTGTGCCACGTAGACCAAGAACACCGCCTCCAGACCGCGGTCTGGTGCGGTCTTGGCCGCACTGCGGTCCTTAAGTGCCGCGCTTTCTGATTGGTTGAGGGGAAAAAGGGAGGATCGCCGGTTGTTGGGTATTTAATATTTATTTTTTTTGCTTTTTCTTTCTTATATATACATATCTAACATCATTTTTTTTTCACAACACAATCTCTTGTCTCACTCAAAAAACTTTTTTAAAAAAATCAACACTCTCTCAAAAATGTCATCTTTTGAAGAATTTCAGACTATTTTTGATACCGCTATTGCGTGTGTTCAAATGACGGAACAAACATACAACGTTGTATGTAACAACGCAGCTGCAAGTTCTCAACGGAGAACACGAAGATATATTTGTAGAAATCGTAAAGAAGCCAACCAACATTTGGTGCAAGACTATTTTGCAGAAAATGCCACTTATCAAGGGTATTATTTTCGTAGGCGCTTCAGAATGCTCAAAGGTTTATTCGAACGTATAGTTGAAGATGTAACGAGGGAGTGCAGTTTTTTCCAACAACGCTACGATGCTAGAGGTACACTCGGTTTCACTCCCTTACAAAAATGCACGGCCGCACTTCGTCAGTTAGCATATGGCATTCCGCCTGATGCGTTAGACGAAAGTTTTAGGATGTCTGCTAGGATAGCACGAGACAGTCTCCATTTTTTCTGCAAAACTGTGATTCAGTTTTATGGTCCAAAATATTTACGTAAGCCTACACGTAATGACATCCTGCAATTGCAAGCTCATCATGCTAGTGTGCATGGGTTTCCTGGAATGCTAGGAAGCTTAGATTGTCTCCATTGGGCATGGGAAAATTGGCCTACAGCATATCATGGGCAATTTACCCGAGGTGATCATGGTCACCCAACGGTCATACTTGAAGCAGTTGCATCACAAGATATGTGGATTTGACATGCTTTTTTTGGTTCTCCTGGTTCGATTAACGACATCAACGTTCTTAATCGTTCACCAATATTTAACAACATATACGATGGATCCGCACCAGATTCTTCTTTTCAAGTGCGTGGAACGCCATATAAGTATTGAAAAAACCAGAAAGAGCTAGGAAGGATGTTGAGCATGCCTTTGGAGCTCTAAAGAAACGGTGGTTCATATTGAAAAAACCAGCAGCTTATTTAGGCGAGGAAAAACTTCAAGAAATCATGTATACATGTCTTATACTGCATGACATGATTATTGAAGACGAAGGAAGAGTGATATGTGCGTTTGACGAGGAAGAAACCATACCAGAGACACAACCAATAGAAATTGGTGGCGAAGAGTATATAAACAGGAGAGCAGAGATACGTTGCACTGAAACATTTCACAATCTTCGCAATGACTTGGTGGAACACATTTACGGGGTTCAAAACATTAACCTTAATTTGGATCCACCGGATGACCCCGAAGACGAGTTCTCGGAGAACGACTTTATGTAGTTTGTTTTAGTTATTTTATTTGTGTTTTTTAAGTTCCTAGGATTATTTAAATGCCATGTGTGTGGTTTTCGTGTTTTTTTTTTTTTTTTTTTTTTGGTAATGCAATGTAATGTTTTTTTTTAATTTTCAAGTAATGAAAAATTATGTTTTTTATTAAAATAGAAGTTTTATTAAATTAAAATAGTTAAAAAAAAGTTTTATTAAATTAAAATAGTTAAAAAAAACACAAAACAAAAAAAAATGTGTGGCACCACTCCATTGGTGTGGCAAGAAACCACACTTGAGTGGTAAAAAATGACATGACGCTTATGTGGCGGGAGAAAGAGTGCGGTTTCGGTATCACCACACCCTCCAGCCTAACACATAACCTTATATACAACAGGTAGCCCTTCATTATTGTTGTTTGTTACTATGTCGTCGTTAGTAACTTCATTCCACCTATAATTTTTTTATCAAATTGACCGTCTAAATTTGTATATTTAAACCACTAAAAAATATAAATATAGGGTTTTCCGATATTATCATATATTTTAATCGAATTTGACATATATAAACACATCTGAGTGACCATTTTATAAACATTATCCTAATACATATGCAAAAGAAAAATGTTGTCCCCATACACCAAACAATGCTTCATTAAACAAGGCAAAGAAAAGGTCAAATTTGTTATAAGTCCACTATCTATTTTTGACCAGCATAAAGCCAGTCAATAAAGGTGCAATTTGTATGAATGTTGTAATAATATTCTAAATTCTCCATGATCGTACCCCCACTTTCATCATATAGTGTGACTAAACATTAAAGACTTAGAGCTATGTTGAATGCATTAATTTGCAATTAAAAAATAAAATAGATTGTTTTAATAACGCTTGATTTTTTGGATATGCAAACATCATTGTGGATCAAATTAACACATATGTAAAATACTGTTCTCGCTTCAAAACAAGAATACTAAATTAATATCTGATAATTTCGGATATGATAAATATATATTTAGTTTAGTATTATTGGTAGCATTTCAATTGATATTTTTGGAACAAACTTTATTTCCGAAAAGGGTTTGAATTTGGAATCATGTGTTAGAAATTTTTTTTTGGAAACGACAAATCTAACCTACTCCTAAACTACACCTTAAATTCACCTATGTCCACGACGGGACTTGAACCCTCAAATTGAAAAAGAATTCAATAAAACAGAATCTAGATCTCTTAGGGAACGTATATGGTTGCTTTTTATGAAAAAGAATTCAATTTGTGAGGAAAACAATTAGTTTTAAGCACCAAAAATCCAAAATTGTGAATTCGTTTATGAAGAAAGTATACGGAATGTTAGTTTTCGTAAGACAATTCCATTATTCCAAACTAGGGAAAATATGAGTATATACTCATCTATCCGAAAATTGGATAAGGTTGGCAAAATTTGCATATTTAACATTTGAAAAACCGTTTCTGAAAAAAATTATTTAGACAGTTGGAGGTGCCACAGGCAACTTTGGTTGGGGATGTTGCAGGCAGCTTGGGCTGCCAGCTTTGCCAAGGCAGCTTGAGTTGTCTGCTAATTGCTTTCGAAAAGACTCATTATTTGTGTTCCATACCAACCAAATGTTAAATGTTAAACCAAAAAAAGAAGTAGATGAAAAGAATCAAAATATTGAATATTTAAAGTTTAAACCGTAACTTAATTTTAACTTCGGGGTCATATAAAGATTATTATCACTTTGACGAAGCTTAGTGCAATATTGAAAAAAGAAATTCCAATGACAAATTTGCATAATGTGGTAAAAACAATATTGCGTTAAATTGGAATACAATCTGTATATATATTTTTTAATTAAGTCAAAATCGAACATGGTTTGTGTCGACAATATTATATACATAATCAAGGGTACTAGAGTAGTAAGTAGTAACTACAATTCAAGGTGCACCAATAGTTTTGCAATCAATATTTGGTCATACGTTGTCGTGTCTTTTTTTTAATTATCAGCTTCTATGTAGTCCCAAATTTGGATTGTACTATAAATAGCAGAGGGATAAGTGATAAATATTGAACCTTTTAGGATAGTTTCATGCATCTATCTCTTGTCACGTGTTCATGTAAAGACCAACAACTTCTAAAAGATTAAATGGATAGATACCGAGTATCCAAAAACTATATTAACTTTCGCACAACCTCTTCACGTGCAAACCTTGCTACCATATAAATTTAGTTCGACTCTTCACATGCAACCTCTATTTTATATAATACAATAGGCAAATAGTAAGTATGCAATACTAATATTATTAAATATAGTTAAAAACAACCAAATTAATAAATTATTGTCATTAACAATAATTTAATAATATCACCGGGCCTTTGACCCAACAGAGTTAGATATATTAAAAATGTGTTATTTGATTCACCGTGAGACTCACGGTGGATAATATATAGGTCTATAACTATGATTAGAGGTGTATGTCTATTTGATAGTTCTAAAAAACTATGATAAATGAGAAAAAAAAACAAATCTAACAAAATTCGTTAATTATTGAATCTGATTATTTTTTCTCGTAGAAGAAATCACAAATGACATATTGCCATATGCAATTTCTTATAGTCTATCTATGATTTTCTTAATAGTATAACTTTTTGTTCAACCTTAAATACTTTAGGGTACGTTTGGTCGTAGAAAATTGTTTTCATTTTTAAGGAAAATGTTTTCAGAATATAGAGTTAAGTTTTCATTTTAAGTTTTCAATGAAAATTTTAGAAAACGCGTTTGGTTGAAAGCAATTGAGTTTTCATTTTCCATCTTCGAAATTTGAAAAATTTTGGAAAAGCGTAAAACTCGTTTTTCTAATTTACATACAATTTGAAAATTGAAAATTTTCATTTTCTTAGAAAATTTTGGAAAACTAAAAGAACCAAACGTGTTTTCAAAATTTTCATTTTGTTGAAAAGATTTCCTAAATTTATCTAGAAAATTGAAAATTTTTCTACAACCAAAGCAGCTTAACACTTCTACTTAATTTTCGTCTGCTGTTTTCAAAAAGAAATTACCTTAGGCTTATGGGATTGGTCTATGACCAAATTGCAGCCCATATTCTCGAAATTACAGCCTATTAGATAAAACTGTAGCCCATTAAGACCCGTACGCAATTTCAGTGGTTAGATTGGTTATTCTTTAAATTTATGGGCTATTTTTAAAAAAATAATTAATGAGTTTGGCTGTATTTGTTTTTTTATCTATAATAATACTTATAATAAAGTAAAAAAATTATATAAAACATTGTCATTGTCATTCTTAGTTGAAGATGTATACTTGGATGAAAATTAGAGTATCAAATGGTAAGTTTAGTTACCGAAAAATTTTCAAAAAAAAGAAATTAGAATTTTGAAAACGTGTTTAGTATGGACCATAACCGAAAAGGAATTGCGATTAAGGGTAAACAGGAAGACAAGTTAGCGCTCTCCTCTTCTGGCTAGTTAGTTTGAAAGCAGCAGTCATTTACTTAGGCAAGCTAGCCAGTTAAGTTATATGAGTAATTGAGTAATAAAGGAAGAATTACACTTAAGCTAAACAGCTAGATCGATCCAAACGTGTGATTAGTAGCTGATGCAGAAAAAAGAAGAACAGCTTCTTCTTCTATGATGACATCAGAGTCCATTTTTTTGGAACAGGGCGGGAAAATTCATCCTATGGTTGTACCACAACTTTGATGCTTCAAACGGGTCTCTCTCTCTCTCTCTCTCTCTCTCGTTATGTTTCTTTATTTGTATGTTGAACAGGTTAGTCTCGTTTTCATGTATTGTGGGTTAAAAAAAAAAAATTTTGATGTGAGTTGATTCCTTGCTATTGATCCCTGATGAAGAAGCTTGATTTCCCTATTTTTTTTGTTTCTAATTTGGTTATGGAAATATATTTGGAATTCAACTTTTCAAAGGATTTGACACCTTAATTAGTAGTTACATTCCCCTGAGATATTATAATCCCCAGATAACCTATGTTATTAAATTAGACATCAATCCGAACTTTAAAAGATTCATTGTTTACAAAAATGTCATCTTAATTTTAGTCTTTCATTTTTATTTTTGTTCCATGAAATACAATAGAGTTCTTCCATACATTTTCCCACATAATATCTTCTTTTTTAAGGAAAAAGTAGAATTTGAGAAGTGATAAAGTGATCATGCCATACAATTTCCCACAAAATATTTAATGAGATCTCAAACACACATAAGATCGATTCTCTTATAACTATATCCTGCATAATCCCAAATCAAGTTTGTTGAGAGAAGAGGTCACAATTGATCTTAGAATAGTTTCCATAATTTCCTCACATCAAAGAGTTAAAAAAAAATCTGCCAAAATTCCTTACAAATCATTCATAGAATACAAAACCCAAAAAGGGTGGTTGGTTTGGTTGACTGATTACTTCTTGGCATAACTGATAGCCATTGAGTTTTGAGGGGTGATCTTGAAACCTTGCAGGGATTGCATTGCAGTTGAAGATTGATTATCATCATCAAACTCAACAAATGCAATTCCTGGTTTTGCATCAATCATTCTCACCTCTTTAAAACCAGGGAACTGTTTGAACAGAAGCTGCAGCATGTCCTCTGTTGTATCATGTGTCAGATTTTGTACAAACAGAATATTGTTAGGTGGTGTCGTTTCTTCTGTGTTTGATCTCCCATTTCGATACGAAGCCTGCAACAAAAATTCAACAAAATTACCATCCCACCCCTGACAATAACAAGTTTGGTTACAAGAAACTTACAGCAGGGGCACCATTGGTGTCGCTTCTTGCACCATTAGTAGTAGCTTGTGGAGTATCTCTCTTCTTCTCAGCTGTCAAAACATGGGAAAATCTTGTATGTTAGATTTATAGTCAAATTTATAAGTAGCAGGGCAAATATGTAATTTTTTAACTTACTTTTTTCCTCTTGCTTCCTTCTCTTATCTTTTGGAACAAATGTATTATCTGCTTTTGCAATACAATCTGATTTGCCTTTTGCATATTGGATCCTCTGTGTTGTATAAATAAATTGATCATGATTCTCTTGTTCTTAATAAATTTTTATAAAAGTTATGAAACTCACCATAGGCTTTTCATAAAACGGGAAGTTTTGCATCTGGCGAACTGCATTGCTGGCAGCAGTGACTTCACTGAAAACAACCCATGCCTGCCCACGAAGTTTTGTTGTCTTCAAAGCAACAACATCCAAAATCCTCCCATATTGAGAGAATAAGGCATACAGAGACCTTTTCAACTCTGATAACAAAAAGAACATGTTACTACTGCAGCAATTTTACTAAATATTACACTTCAAAATTCCAAGTCAATTGGTGTCCTGTGGAGCTACTAAAAGTGGCAACTTCAATGGCTTTTGTTAACCTCTAACATGGAACAAAACATAAATCCTTTTTCCCTAATACAGTCCACAATGCACAAATGTATTTGTTAGTTCCAGATCATATCTTCACTCAAAGTTTAGGTGTTCACCAGCATTCTCATTAACAAATGTTTTTAGTTAGCACGAAATAAAATTAACAACAACATTTCTCAAGTTCCAACGATTTAAGACCGCTAATCAGAAAGAGAAAGTTTTCCCAGCACTTCTCCCCGATTGTAGTCAATTAGTGATGCCATATAATTTGCAAGCAGTCGATAGAATTTTACACACTCATCCCTTATATCGAGTAAAAGAAAACCAACATTCACAGCACAAGTGCAAGACTCTCGTTATAATTTTTTTTTTCAAGAAATAGGAATTTAACACTAACAACTTCGAATTCGTGGTATTACAAGTTCATAACAGAAACAGCAGAATAGCGCTAAAACAAATACCTTCTTTCTTGACCTTCTCGTTGAGATTCTTAACGTAAATTGTCTGGTTCGGTGGTATATCGGCCGTCAGCATCGTCAAAGAGAAACTTCGAGATCCTACTGCGATTTTCAATTTGTGTGTTTGCGAATGAAAAGGGGGGAGAACGAATACCAACAAGTTCAAGCCCTAGAAATAGAATTAGACATCTTTCGATAAGTTTTACAAACTACCCTCTATGTTTGGTAAACCTTCAGAAAGAACCATTCAAGTATTAGTAATCTCACAAAACCCCATTAAAGTTGAGATTGAAAAAAATTTGTATTATCTTATATTTGACCAAACTAGTTTTTTTTTTTTTTTTAACGACAAATACTATATAATCCTAAACTACTTCAAAATCTATATATTTCTCCGACGAGACTTGAACCCTCAACCTCAAGGAGGAAAGGCAACACCTGAAAATTAATTGGTAGCTAATAAGTTATCAATTTGATTGATTAAAGTTTTGGATAATTAGTAGAAAAATGCTTATGGAATAATCTCTAATTACCATGTTTTTACTCCTATTTCATTATATGCATTTTCTTTTAACCCAAGATCGTTTTTTATTATTTTATGTTACTTTAAAATTATTGAAAATTGTCAAATATCCAAACAATTAAATAACTATTGCAATATGTGTTCGTTGTTTGGGTCGGTCGATATTTTTCCATATATCTTGTTATAAACATGTTATCATGCAATAAATATGTTGTCAGTTGCTTAAAATATATTTAAATAATGAAAACTTTTTAAAATCTTTCTGTAAAAAATATACTATTATTATAGAATATTGTACTATAAATAAATATTAAAAACATTATAGGAACTTTTAAAAAAAATAATAATAAAGACGTTTTATTTGCAAAATGTTTTTTGAATGAATAGAATATATCAAGATAATTGGATATTAAAGAAATTTGAATCTTAGGGGGTGTTTGTTTAGCAGGAATGTAATGGAATTTGAGGGAAAAGGATTCCAATTCCCTCAAATTCCTGTGTTTGGTTCAGCTTCAAGGGAAAGAAAAGGAATGCTAAATGAATTATTTTACGTTCAAATGAAGTAAAGTCCATTCCTTCACAATCTCAAAGGAATTAATTCCTTCATAACATGGAAAGCACAAGATTACAATTTTGCCCTTGCTAAACATTACAATACATCAGTTAACCTAGTCGTTCATCCCATTCTCATTGAGCCGACATCCTCTTCGCGTCTTCTCCTCATCGTAACAAGGATCGGCCGACGACTTTCAGGTGATCTCTCTCTCTCTCTCTCTCTCTCTCTCTCTCTCTCTCTCTCTCTCTCTCTCTCTCTCTCTCTTCATATTCGAACCAAACAACACCTGTGAAGCATGTCTTGGTCGATTCATGATTTCAAGCTATTTGATTTCTGAATTCAAGTGAATCATATCGATTAAATTAAAGTTCTTTTCTGAATTTCATGCTCGATTCATAGTCTACAACAACCGTTAGCTAATCGATTTCTTCACATTCTTTCCATCTTTTTCTAATTTTATGATTTTTCTAATTCCTCCTCTTTTCATGATTTCAGAAAAACCAAATGTTCTTTCCCTGCTTGTTTTGATTTCGTTTGTCTGTTATAGAACTGGGAAGCTATTCAGGTTATTTGGTTTAATTTTTTTATGAAGCTGGGTAATTCCTTGTCCAACAACTGTTACTGAACAGAGAAAACATGTCTTGGTTTCTTGCTAAATTGATAGAACAGAAAACATGTTGTGGTTTTGTTGTTTTACTATCAATATATGCCATTTTGCTTTTTTGCTATCAATGGAATATGTATACTGTTTTTATGTTTTATAGGAAAATGCCTCGACTTAGTTTAACAACACGCAATCGTAGACAAAGGCAAACTTCATTGATTTTAACATGGTGGAACGTGGTTTTACACGTTGTTGTAGTCCTTTTGTTAATGATATTCAAAAAGCATAGGGATAAACGACGTATTAAGCATCTTTCTTCAAATGTAGATCGATACCCAATACTATATAGATACGTTTATGAGAGTGACACCATGTCTATATCACAAATTAGGATGTCTAGAATGTGTTTTAGTAAATTATGTTGTATGCTTGAAACATTGGGAGGCCTAAAACCAAGTAGGAATATGGAGATTGATGAAAAAGTTGCTATTTTTCTGCATATTCTTGCTCATAATGTTAAGAATCGTGTTATAATATGTCGGTTTCGTCGCTCGGGAGAAACGATTAGTAGGCATTTTATTCGAGTTTGTAATGCAGTCATACGATTACATAGTCATTTGCTTAAGAAACCCGAACCTGTTCCCGATAACTCTACTGATCAAAGATGGAAGTGGTTTAAGAATTGTTTAGGAGCTTTAGATGGAACATATATAAAGTGTCTAGTTCCAGTCGAAGATCAGCCTAGATATAGAACAAGAAAGAATGACATTGCAACAAACGTTCTAGGGGTTTGTTCCCAAGATATGCAGTTTATATATGTGTTAACTGGATGGGAGGGGTCGGCTGCGGATGGTAGAGTTCTTCGTGATGCTCTTCTTAGACCACATGGATTTAAAGTTCCAAGGCCGGGTATGTTCTTTTTTAACTATACATGTTATTTATAAATTTTTATTAATAAGTTATTAACTACAATTTTTATCTATAGGTTATTATTTGGTTGATGCCGGATACACAAATGGAGAGGGTTTTCTAGCGCCTTATAGAGGACAGAGGTACCACTTAAATGAATGGCGTCATGGATACCAACCAACTACACCAAAGGAATTCTTTAACATGAAACATTCATCGGTAAGAAATGTTATTGAACGATGTTTTGGCCTTTTGAAGAAAGATTGGCAATGTGTTTATGATATGGTAAACGGTTCAAACACAAGCGGTTTTGGTTATGACCCCGAAAAGCATTGTGTTACTTCTGAGGATCCGGTCTGGGAGGCGTACCTACAAGTACATTTTAATAATTAAGTGACTACATGGAAATATTTTGCTTTTTGTTTTTTATATGAATTATAATGTTGGTAAATAGGTACATAAAGAAGCGACTAGATGGAAACACAAAACATTTCCTTATTATGAAGCTCTTTGCATTGTTTTTTGAAAAGACCGAGCTCAAGGAAATAGAGCTAGAGATTTCATGGAGATGGAACAAGAGGTGAATTTAGAAGAAGAAACGCAAGATTCAGATGACGATTTTCTAGATTCAGAGGAAGTTAGTCGTACTACAGCCGTGCAACATGATGAAACTTCACCGAGTGTTCGTTCCAAGAAGAGGAAAAATCGAAGCGACGAGGGGTTTAACAAGGCGGTTGGCTTAATTACAGAAAGTCTTAAAGAAATATCAAAGGACTTGAGTGGAGGTATTAAATTTGACATGAAGATTAACGAGTTAAGTGAGAAGATCCCTCCGGCGATTTTAAAGATGAATTCAATAAGTCAACTTGAAAAGTTCAAAGCTTTGACCAAGATAAGAAGTGATCTCATTAATGTTCAAAATTTTTGGGAAATTGAAGAAGATGATAGAGAAGCTTGGGTAAAATACATTTTGGAAGGGTAGTATTACCAGTTGGGATGTGCATTGGATGTTGATCGGTATTTTGCATATGAAAGTTTTTGGTGCCTTCGATTTGGATGTAACGAAATAATTTACGTTAACTTTTTTTTTTGGTAACAATATTAAGATATCTAGTGAAGAAGGTGATAGCTTTTAAGTTATGTTTTTTGTGGTAACATTATTGGGATGTGTATTTAAAGAATTTTATATGAAGTCATTTGCATGATTTTCACATTATATTGACACAAACACTCAATCAATTAAATTAAATTTATTATTTTTATAATTTATGTAATGTATCTTTACATATAAATTAAAAAAGAAAGTAAAATTAAACAATATAGACAAAAAGGGCAATTCTATCATTTTACATGGATTCCAATTCCAATTCCTACGAACCAAACAAAATATGGAATTAATTCCAATTCCATTTCCTGCCTGCCAACCAAACAGGACATGGAATTGGATTCAAATTCCTAACAGATTCTTTTTCCAATTCCAAATGCAATTCCTTCAGCAACATTCTGCGAACCAAACAGGCCCTTAAATAATATTATAGAGTGGTTTAACAAATCTCAAGGTTTTGTCATTTCATTGACCAATTTCAGCTTTATGAACAATTATTTTTGGTTTTTTTTGTACGACAGTTAAAGGAAGATTTACATGCTTACAACACAGACTATTTTCTTTACCAATAAAACCAATAAACTAACATGTTTATTCGCAGTATGTCACTATACTGTAACTGATCATTTAACAAGTGATGATGACATAGCACCGGTTTTATGTGATGTGTGTGCCTAGTCAACATATACGAGTAGAGTCCTTATGTTCAATGTGCTACAAAAATTTAATAAACATGGAGGATATTTTACAAAAACAGTATCTATAATCCATATAATCTATACCTAAAAAGTCATTTTCTGTTTGCAACATCACTAAATCTGAATACTATTATTAGCTCATAGGGAGATACAAAATTTGAGGGTCCTTTGAGACAGATCAAATAGTCTTTTTTGGGTCATTACTTTCTTCTTGTTGAGGAGGTTCAAGGGTGGTGTCTTTCTTCTCCATGACTTGTTGTATGCCTTCTTGGTAACCTTGTATGAAGCTCTTTAATGCATCCCTGTAAGCAGATGCTCTAATCATATAAACCCGTTGCAAAGCTGGCCTAAGTGTCTCCATTCCACCTCGAGCAGCAACAGCTATCATCATTATCACAACAACATCAAAAAAAAAAAAAAAAAAAAAAAGTAAATTCAACTTCACTGCTGTAATTGGGTAAAAATTTCAACGTATAATTTCTAAAAAGAATGTAAGCAAGATGCATAAAATATAAATAGTAGAAAAGATTTTTGTGAGATTTACCAAGATCCTCCAATGTTGAAGGTTCCGATTCTGTGTTGGAACCTGTTTTCCCATCATTTTCATCTCCTGATTTTTCCTTGTTTTTGTATTCATTTGGTCGAAGCTCTGGACCTATATCTCTTACCCAGCTTGCAGCATAAAGTCTAGTTGCTTCCTTCATCACCTGAAAAATAATGATTATAAAACACATAGTAGTTTTATAATAATGAAATTAATAGATAAATAAGAAGAAGAAAAAAAAATACTCACCAAATATCGTTCTTTCCAAGTTAATTTTCTACGTTTTTTGAAATGAGGAGGGTCGGGCAAAGATGAGGGGAATGCAATTTCTTTCAAATCATAGCGGACATAATCACGAACTTTCCTCCAAACTATTTTCACCTTCATTTTGATCTTTGAATTACCTCAATGTTTTTCTTTTTACAATTTACGGGTTCACTAGAAAATTTCCTTGAGATGTTGATTCCCATAAAGAAACCTAAAGGGGGAGATGAAATACATGATCAATTGAATAACTTTTGTTGGAATTATAATTTAATCAAAACGCTTGAAATTGAATGTAGTAGGACTAATTAAACTAAACCAACATGAAACATCAAGACATAAGATCAAGTCAAATGCATTTTTCCTTTAACACTCTCCACTCCGAACAGAAAGTTCCTAGACAAAATTTTATTTTATACCAGAAAAACGCAAACACCAGCATCATGGAGCAAATTATCAGACACCTAGACGAAATTTAACAAATGTCAACTTATTTAATCAATCATGGGTGGGATGGATGCCCGTGCATAGCAGGCAACAAAGATGGAGGAGAGTGAGGTAATGGCGGTGATTCGCTGTAAAAGAAGCACGGGAAGAAAGTAAGGCATCACGAGATTGTAGATTAGATGGGTGAAGTTTAAGATAAACAAGATGGGTGATGGGTTGGGGAAGAGGAAGAAGTGGGGTGGGTTGTGTGTTTTTTTGACTTTTTCTTTCGAGAGAGAGAGAGAGAGAGAGAGAGAGAGAGAGAGAGGAGAGAGAAGAGAGAGAGAGAGAGACTATTATTTTTTTAATTGTTAAAATAAATAAACAAATATTAAACTTTAAAATAAATGAAAGAAAAATGAAAAATAAATACCACAAGGGTATTATAGTCATTTCAATTTTCGGAGGGACTATTTTCACATACAAACCACTCCAAAAGGACCATGAATCCAAAAAACTCGAGGTTTGGACTAAAACCCCAAAAATTTGCATACCACAGGGACCATTTTTGCAATTTTGTCTTTAATTAACTTAATATTTTAAAATACTGTTATTTCAAAACAACATAGAGAAGATTGAAGAGTATACATTTAAAATTTATTGTTTCTCCTCGTTAAAGATATTGTACCTTCATGTATATAAATTATTTTTTCTGATAAATTTTAGAAATTTAATACATACTTTTTTAAGATATTAATTAACATACGATTTACTCCGTATTCAAGATAGCATATCCGTATCACTCGTTTGAGAAGTGTTTGAAATATCAATAGAATAGTAGTGGCTAAACCGCTAAAGTGTGAAGTGTGAAATTCAAGTCCAGTTGACTGTTGAGTTCGAAAAGCCCTATTTAATCAAAATTGGCCCAAACACAAAACGGAACGGGTTTAGTGGTTTTCGTCGTCTCATCGATTGTAGAGTTCTCGATTCCATCATGGCATCATCCACCGAGGTACTCTCTAGTCTCTTCGCTGATCTCGATCACGTTGCATATCGAACCAATAACATGTTATCCCTCTTTCTAGGGTTCTAATTTGCCCACAAAATCCCTAATTTTCATTCCAGTATCTATCGACTTCTCCATATCTCCGAGCCTTTCCGTTTATTTTTTTAATTATTGAGAAATTTGATTTTTTTTCATGTGAAATCGGTTGTAACTTGTATTGGGTAATTTGTTTTTGTTCTTTCTAAATAGTCATGTAGGTTTTATTCATCCATCTGGAGTGAAGTGTAGCTTCATCATTGTGAATAGGTTTTGATTGGCCAGCATTCTAGAAGAATCATCCAGCATAACTAGAATAGGGGTGGTAAAACTTGGCAATTTTTTATCCTTATCGAATTCAACCCATATAAAGGAAAATCTGTAACTTGCAAGCTTTATGCTGTTGCTAAAAGTTTTAGGTCTATTGAATTAGCTATCTCTTACTATTAGTTATTGGCGACTTAGATTAGTGTATTAAGTTACATCACCCATTTGGGACGCTGTTATCAGAATTTGGTCTTTATCTGATTCTAATGTGTTTATTACAGATTGATTAAATAAGTTGACATTTGTTAAATTTCGTCTAGGTGTCTGATAATTTGCTCCATAGTATGTTGTTTATGATTATATCAACGTTTAAAAGAACGGAATCGCGCCTCGAGGCGTTTTCCCTTCGCCTCACGAGGCGTAAGCCTCGAGGCGTAAGCCCGAGGCGGAATTAAAAAGTAAATATAAAAACTATATATCTTATAAAAAATAAAATACTAACCATATAATTGAAACTACAATTATATATATAATTGAATCTCCAAGGATCTGAAATTCTTTGGCTTCCTAATGCACCTGATTGTCTTTGGTCGTCATTCTCCTCACCGAGACCAATAAAGTTCTCTGGTGCTTCTATTTCAATATCCTCTACACGAAGTGTAGAATACGCAGAATAGAGTACTAGAAGGAATTGTAGAATACATGGAATAGGAATATAGGATAATAGGAATGTCACTTGAATCCATTAAAGTACCAGGCGAAGCATCAAAGCATAAGACTAAGCATCAAAGCATAAGACTGGAATTTCAGTCGGCAATCAATTTCCCGTCAATCTCCAATTCTCAATCTCCAATTCAACATTCCAAAATCCAAATTGACGATCCCAATTGCAAATTGAAGCAATTCCGTTTGGTAAAAACACGTTCCAGTATTCAATTTGGCCATGGGATAGGATCGTCAAAATTAGACTAAGTCAAAATAAGTCAAAATTAGACTAAAAATTCGAAGGCGTGCGCTTCTGAAAATCGTTCCACCTCAACCGATTCCTATATGCTTCACTATTACGAGGCGTACGTATCAAATCCTACCACAGAGGCGGCGCCTCTAGTTCGATCAGCAGCCGCTTCGCCTCAAGGCGCGCCTTAAGGCGTGCGCTTCTCACGTTTTTTAAAACGATGGATTATATGAGTATTGCAGCAACTTTTTCGAAACCCTAACCATCGTTAGAACTCAATATGACTATACACACTAACTAGAATTAAAAATCATGACGAGCGTACAGATCCGTCAAGTATGAATATATAAGAAGAAACTAAAGAAACAGTTTGCGCTGGTTTTGAAAGTCTACAGATGCAGATTTCATATGATCAGAATCAATTAAACAGAAGGAATTAGAGAACACTAATTAATCGGTCATACCTTCTACTGAGAGATCCGATGGCAGCCTTGTTCGTAAGTTCGTCAGTCGGCTGAGACGAAGACTTGAAGTGAAACCCTACTCTAATTTATAGCAAAGATAAATAGGAGCAAAAATGTCATTTCTACGGAGGCCTTGGAAAAAGAACATTACAATAAACCCCTAGAGTTTGGGGAGTTTAAACTTTTAAGACTATCTTCATAATTAATTAATGACAAGTCTTCATAAACAGTTCATGTGGTTTTTCAGACTATCAAGTTGAGTTTTTAATTTTTTTTGGTCTTATGGAGGGCCCCTTGTGGTTTAAAAACTTTTTACAAACAATCATTTTGGCTAACACCATTAGTTTTGGTTCGTTAAGTCATAACATATGAAGTGGGTAAATTTGTCTTTACAAAGTCCATGGACCATTTATGAAGATTTTTCTACATTTTATTTGTTTTAAGTTGGCGCCCAAATCTCCCCCACCATCAAACATAAAAGAAAGCCCTAGCTCGTTCACATGCCTTTTGCTCGAAATGACGTACAAAAGAAACCCACACAATTCTTCATGTTCACCTTGACGACTGACGTACGCACACAATTTTTTCTTCTTGATCGCTACTTCACCTTGAACCGAAGAAGGCGCCAACCCAAAATTAGATTGAGTGTTTAATGACTTGAGTGCTTGACGAAGTCAACTTGAAGAAGTCAACAGGCCAGACAAACCTTCTTTCAGCCTTTATTCTTGATTATATTAAATTCATATTGTTTTGAGTGATTTTAATATCAAATAATTGTAAGTTTGGTAAATATCTGGTGATTTAGGTTTATATATGTTACGTGCCTATTGCTTTCACTATTATATGTATCTGATACTTTATAATCACAATGTTCTTTCTCGCAAAGTTTCAGTTCACACTTGTTCAAAACAAATGTATGCTAATTTTGGTTCAAAATGGAAAGAACAAAACTTCAAGACTATGATTTTTTTTATCTTTGTTGCTCAAAGAGCCTCAAACCAATAGTTTTTAAGCAATTATGTTATTGATTTCGTCTCTTGGGATGGTTGGGACAATTTTCTTAGTTTGTGGTCATGATGTTCATCAATTCGAGCTACCGAGAGAAATTGGACCCCAAGAATCGAAGGTATGATTTGGTGCTTTTAGTTAGTGCAATTTCTAAAACTAAAGTAGATATTGGTTCATATATAGGGTGAGAATCCAAGCTATGATATCATTATTTTGTTGTGTTATGGGTGTTTCCAATGCCCGAAAGTTAGAAAGCAATTGAAAAATTAAGCTTAAAGAAGACGACATGCTAAGAGCTACTAGAGTTATACTTCCTGCATTAATCCTTGTAATTTCAAAAGCTTGAGATGTGTTCTTCGGCGAACCATCGACGACCCTTAAAGTAAATTCATATCCCTAAAGTTTATGTAACATAAATTTAACTTTACAATTGATCAATCATGGTGTTAAATATTTCAGGTAACACCATTTTCACTACTTGGATCTTATTACGGGCATATGGTAACCTTCAAGTGGCTTTTTGCACTTGGTAAGATCATTTTCCAGATGACTTTTGATTCATGTATCAACGGTGAAACAATGAAAACTTATGTTTTGAGTTTGTGTCTTTTAGGATTTTTCATGTAACACCTGTTTCCCGATTTGTTCCTTGTGGTAATTGTGGATATTCAATTTTGGGTCTACGCCACACGTAGGTCAATATCAACGGCATACATGTCTACGCCGCGTGTAAGATGATTTATGTCACACGTAGATCTACGTTGCACATAGGTTTATCTACGCCATGCGTAGCCTTTGTTTCCATGAAACCCTAATTTTGGGATTTGGGCCCTATATAATGACCGTAACTTCCTAGGGTTCAGTGTCATTCTCAACCTCCACCCTCTGAAAACGAAACCCTAGCCTCATTATCTTGTGTTCTTAAATTTTGAGTGTTAAAACCCCATTTTGTGGTGATTTGAAAAAGGAGAAAGACCTTAGTGGTGCTTAGAAGTTTGATTCATTAAAGACCTAGCCTTTCCTTGTGCCTCTGGATCTTTGGAGGTCATAAAGTTATCTGTTTTATTCAAATCCATGCTTAGGTATAGACTTTGGTTGGGTTTTGGTCATGTTTGGTCCTTTTATGCTTGATGTTTTTTGAGTTTGAGCAACTCCAAAACCGTGGAATGGATATAAGTTATTTTGTGGTCATTTAAGAATAGGAAAGAGTGTGTAAATGGATTCCACTTGAGCCATGCACACTTTTAAGCTAGGGTTATAGATTAGGATTATTTGAGCCATTTGTATGGATAAAGTTGGAAACTTTATCCATTAAGACACTTAAATGCTCATGATACTATGTAGGATACTAGGTATGAAAGACTACGGTTGTACCGTAACAATTGCATGAAAGACTATGTGAGATCATAGCAGGAAAGACTACAATGGTAATGTAGCAACAGAAGTAGAGTACGACTATGATGTCATCATAACATTCACATGAGTATGTGGTATTTTGGGGAGCTCATTAAGCTTTATGTTTACTAGTTAAAATTTAGATATTACAGGTTGCTCTAGTAGCAAGGGGTAGTGTGTGACTTGATTGCATAACATCTTTGGATATGTTTTAAGACTTCTGTATGTTTGATTTCACTATCTTTTTATTACTCTGATTTTGATTTTGGTTGTTAAACTTGAACAAATGATTATTTATCTATCTTTTAGGAATGGAATCAGGATGAATGCTTTTATTTAAAAATAAAAAATTTAGTTTAAAATTTAGGACGTTACACTTCATGGGGTTTGCTGGCCCAAAACTATACACATTGTACGCGATGCAAATACACAAGAATATTAAATGTGTGAAAGTGTGGATAATGGAAATATGAGGATGTTGTTCTCATAAGAAAATATTTGCAACATCAGTAGTTACAACCTTTTGGAATCTGACTTTGATCAAAACATACATTTTTGCTGGCAATTTTGTTGAACCATCTTACTGTTGCATAATGTTGTTGTATCATGTGATGGTGGTGTTTAAGGACAACGATTATGTGTGGTGATCTTTAGACGCTACAAACAGCAATTGTCATGGAAACATATGGAATTGTTGGATGATCTGATCATGTGTCGTGATAAACATCAGATGTCAAAATTAATTATAGAGAAATCTTCATAAATAGTCCATGTGGTTTGTCAAAAATGATTTTGCCCTCACATGTCTAACATGTGTTGTGACTTAACAAATCAAAACTAATGGAGTTAATCAAAAGGACTATCTGTAAAAAGTTTTTAAACCATATCAACCATCCATGAGACCAAAAAAAGTTAGGGACTTAACTTGATATTCTGAAAAACCACATGGACCATTTATGAAGATGTGTCTTATTAATTAGTGTTTTGTTTCTAACTTTTCATGTATTTTTAGAGAAAAAAATAATGGCAAGTCAACTTTAATCTTTGATCTTGCATGTCAATATGGTTACATTATAAAATTATTTTACCTTGTTTTATGTCAAAACCACAGCATTTTTTGTATGTTAAACATCAAATACTGAGGTTACTTGTTAAATTAATACTTTTTGCATATTAGGGGTTTGGTTTTTCATTTTCAAACACTGAAATATCCTTCAATCAAGGAAAATCAAATACTTAATTTGTTCTACATTCCTTCATCAATGAAGACAAACATGCTCAATTTTGATATAGGCTTTGCTGGTTCATCTCTTTTTTTCATAGAAAAGTCAAAAAATGTCTCTATACACGTAGAAATAGTCCAACTATAAAACCAGTTTCAATAGTTGCAACCAGCTCAAGTCATGTTAGTCTTTGAGGTTTTAACAGAAAAAACAAAAATACAACTGCTTTTTGTTTATTTACATAAATAAATAAAAGTCGCAAGTGAATGAATGCTATTTGTGAGAAGAATCAAGAGTTTTGCAAAACCCATCCAAACCTTCGGAACTAAACCAGTCTTTCTTCATCTACAAACACATAAACATACAAACGAAACAAATCTAAAATCAAAATCAATCACGCAAAAGATTATTAGTTGGTTCATTCAAATGTATATTAGAACTTTTGTTTTTTTACAACTTACTTTTTTTTTTTATAAATTCGGTTGTACAGAAATAGTGTTTTTTTTTTTTAATAGAAATACTTTTTACAACTTTTTGCCTTATTTTTTTTTTACAAATTTGCAAAAACAAATATGTAAAAAAAAAAATTTTTACAACCTTACATACATGAAAATGAATATGCAAAAAAGTTAGAAAACGAAGTTGTAAAAAAAAAAAAAAAAAAAAAAAAAAAAAAAAAAAAAAAAACATGTAAAACAAAACATGCATAAATACGAATATGTAAAAAAGTAACTTTTACATGTTTTTCACAACCTTACATGCAGAAAAACAAATAAGTAAAAAAACTCGTGAAACTAAAGTTGTAATAAAAGTAATTTTGTAAAAAATAATTTGTAAAAAAGAAATAAAAGAGGTTGTATAAATAGTTATTTTGTAAAAATAACTTAGTTTTAAAAACATGTAAAACAAAGTTGTAAAAAAAGTTGGCAAATTTGTAAAAAGAAATGTTTGGACCAAATTCATAACAAAAATTTAAAAACTCGAGCTAAAATTGTAGAAAATAAAAGTTTATAACCTTTAAAGCTTCTTGATATAATTGTGTGTGTAAAACGGTGTTTTAGAGACATTTGGAATATGGTGTAAAAGTTATTTTTTATTTTTTATTATTTTTATAGCTTATTTGGGGTTCAATAACCTTCCATTACATTTTTTTGTAAGTAAAAAAATTCTTAACTACAATTAAAACAACGTATAAAATAAAGTTAAAATTACACATTGTATTGACATATAATATACAAAATTCATTCCATTCTACAAGCCAACCAAACGTATGATCATAGAATGTAATGCTTCATTCCATTCCTTTGTCATTTGTGATTCCATTCCATCATATACCAAACATACCCTTTATGTATTTTCAAGAAAAGAAATGTGGCAAAAGGAACTTACAAAATAAGGGTACCCATTTGATATGCTAAAACTTTCAGGAGCACTCTCAACAAAAAGCTTTATATAATAAAGAGCAAAAAAACCACATTCCTGATTATCTCTCTGCTGTGGAACCTGATAATTCAAAACTCTTTGTTTCAATATTATCATTCAATAAATCAAATAAATAAATAAAAATCAAGAAATTCTATCAAGTCACCTTAGGAACTAAAAATGGCATTTTACGCAACAATTTTTTATCCTCTGTCCTCTCTAAATTCCTGTAGATATCAGAAACAAATCTGACATGGCCAAAGTCAGCAATCTGTCATGAGTTTTGTTGGCAGGAATGGAATGGAATGGAATGGAATCTCGGATTCCAGTTCCACCATAATTAATGAACCAAACAAACCATAGAAACATAAAAAGACAGCATTACAAAATCAAACATTACTTTCTTATTACAGGTTCCAGTTGCTTGGAATGATCAGCTTTTGCTAGTGAATCCAGCAATAAAATGCATGGAGTTTTGAATTTTGATCCTAAACTTTCACCAAAGTGACAGAATATCAACACACTCCAATGACCCCTGACAAAATCACATTCTTTTTATATCATTCCCTTTCCAATAAAAAAAAACATAAGAGAATATGCTAAAATTGATGTATTTTAATTTTTAAGGATTACTCACCACTGAACAATGGGAAAAACCACATATTTTCTAGAAAATATGTCCTTTTTCTTGATCCAGTTCAACACCTTTTCTTTGTTGGAGTCACTAGAGTACAAAGTATACCACAATGGATCAAGATGTGTGAATGAACTCTTTTTATCCTCTGGAATGCTGAGCCATAAATTCCTACATGATATACAAAAACACGTAAAATTAAGGGTTTGTTTAGTATGATGGAATGGAATGGAATGGACCATTACATTCCATTATCATGTTTGGTTGGCTTGAGGGAATGGAATGAGCCATTCTAATGATTCTTGTTTGTTATGTTTAATTAAAAAAACTTAATGAAAGTAAATACTATTGGTTATTGAAAATTATATACATAAATAAAAATAAAAGGTTTAGCTTACTCTAGGTAACTATGAACTTTATCAGAGTTCAACTTCTTAGCTTGATTTACCATATTGCCACGGTTCCCTCTTCTTTGACGAGTAATGGTGGTTGGATGATGGTCATCCTGAGAGTCGCTAAGCTCTTCAATTGCTCTTTTTTTACTTGTTTCTGGAGATGGATGCATCAGGTAATCTATTCTGCGAGTAATTTGTAACGTAAATATATGCAATCTACCCCTTACCCCATTCTCATTACATTAATTCTGCAAAAGGAATTTTCTCAAAAGTAGTCCAAATTCGTTCGAATGATCATAAAGTAATTTCGCAAAACTAAAGGGATTTTTGCAAAATGTGTGGTTATTTTAGGAAATTTATGAAAATGGTAGTCATTGTTCCCTCTGTATCAAATCAGGATAGAATCGGAAATTGCAAAATGTGTGATTATGCAACTATGTCTGAAAAGAAGAAAGCACGCATAAAATTAA